ATAGTTGTGAATTATTGATGAGGTAGTTGCATATAATTAGTATCAAAATCATAATACATGATCAATTTAACTATTAGATATATAAAGTTACATCTATAAAATGTTAAAATGATAGTTGTAAAATACTTTAATAGGGGTATTATTATCTCTACACCCCTAATTTTAAATTACACTTAGGTCCTAATGGATTTGGCTATGGTTTTTACATTTCGTAAGGCTTACTTGCAAATACATTTGCTCTGTGAGACCTATACATAATTTTTTCTGTTATCATACATTTATTTTGTGAATCAATTAATGTAATTACCTTGACCCCACTATTAAATTTAGGGAGAATGACAATTAATTTTGTAGAAGACTAATTAATTTAACTTAAGTTTTAACTAATTTCATAATGCCAACAAAATGCCTTGATTCTTCAGTGGTAATAAGTCTAACCTAATAGTTCTAGAGATTTGTGAGTTCAGTTCTTAATTTTGTAACTTCGTTGCAATATATTTGAAACTTATTTTTCCAAATTTTAATAGCGAACATAAATGTTTATATTCAATGTTGAGAAGTATTAAGTCTAATAACTTAAGGAAATCGCAAGTACGATTTCAATTTTACAATTTCATTCTAATGCATTTAGAGCTTGTTTTTCTAATTTTAATAGGGAACACACATGTTCTTATTTAATTTTTAAAAGTATTAAGTTTAAAAATTTATTGTGTTCGTAAGTTTGGCTTCCAATTTTGCAACTTCTTTGGGAAGCATCTGCAACTTTTTTTCCTTCAAATTTTCACATGCAATGCAAATGTTTATCTTTGACGTTAAAAAAAATATTAAGTCTATTGGTTATGATTTTCCTATTGCCTATTTATCAGTATATAAAATAGATAGATCCTGTACTTCTCCATTACTTATTTATTCTTCAAACCTATTAAAATTTTTAAAAAAAGTTACAAATGCATTATAATAAAGTTATAAAATTAGAACCTGAACTTGCAAATCTCTAAAAATGTTAGACTTATTACTATTGAAGAATAAAGGGACTTAATTTGTTGGCATTTCAAAATCAGTTAGGACTTACCTTGAATTAATTAGTCAACTTAAAACTTAAATGTCATTCTCCCTTAAATTTAACAATAGCTAGCTACTAGCAAGGGCCCATTTGAGAAGTACTTTTCAGCTGGCCCAAGAATATGAAAATGAAAATGAAAGGGATGAAGAAATCTGAATTGTGTGTGTGTGTTTTTTCCTGCGCCTTATTATTTTTCGATTGAATGAGCCATGAATAATTAGTGTGAAACTTTGTTACAATGCATAATTGATTTAAATATTATATATGTGAAGTTATGTTATAAAATATTGAAATAATAGTTGTTAGTTATTGATAAGGTAATTCTATATAATTAGTATTAAAAATGTAATGTATTATCAATTTAACTATTGGATATATGAAATTACAGCTATAAAAAGTTAAAATGATAGTTGTAAATTCCTAATAAAATTATTGTAAATTATTTGATTGATGTAATGTATGTTTAATAGGGATATTATTGTCTCTACACTCTAATTTTAAATTACAGTCAGATTCCAAAAGATTTGATTGTGGTTTTTAAATTTTATGAGACTTACTTGCAAATAATTTTTTGTGTGGGACCTATGCATAATTTTTTTTTGTTATCATACATTTATTTTGTGGATCAATTAATTACCTTAACCCCACTATTAAATTTAGGGAAAATGACAATTAAGTTTCAAGAAAGTTAACTCTTAGCTAATTTCGACTTGGATACTCCACCGAACAATTTGAGCAAGCTCCTGAATGATGATGCTCCAGACGTATGTCAGATTCATAGTTGTATTATTAGACCCTAGCTCGGTCTTTTCTCCTTGTTGAACCAAAAAAAACAGATTTTTCTTTTGAAATAACGTTTTCTTTTACCAAGTAGCATCTTCTAATTGTATAACCTTCTAATAAATGTGCCTTTAGAAATTAGAAAGATTACATAATCTTAGTAATTGTAACTCTTTACATAATCCTTTATAAAAATTTTTAATCCATTAAAGACATGACATTTCAAAAACACATCTGTTCGTTTTAAAATTATTCCAATATGTTGGGTAGACATCAAAGCCAATATTTATAATTTAATATTTCTACATATTTTTATAAAATCATGATATTTATAAATTATAAATAATATGGTTGTCCTTGCACGCTGGGTGGGACAGGGGAAGATGAAGACAAGAGAGTGATTATGGAGCTAGCCAGCAAGGTGGAGGCTCCACATAATAGATGTTATGTCTCTGTATGATTGTGAATCACTTGAAAAAGGAGAAAAAACAGAAATATATTTAGATAGATTGAGTGTATCATGTCATTTATGATCTGTCCAATCAAAGCAGGATATTTGAATAGCATTAAATATAAATTGATTATAATATTAATGATAGTAGGGAGAGAAAAGACGCAAAATTAAATATGAATTATGTTATAAGAATAAAATCAATTAAAATAATATCACATAAGATTTTATTTAGATGATTTGGGGCGTTCTAATTGAACAGACCGCAAATGACATGCACATGCTTTACCTAAGAATTTCTAAAAAAAAAACAAAATGAAAATTCAATAGATTACTCCTCTAGTCTTATTTATAAGTCATTTTCAACATGTTTCACTAGTACCAAGAAAAATTTTAAAATTTATTAACATTATCTTAAAATTTAATAAGTTTCTAACTTTGTCTTTATTAAACATACATATTTCAATAACATATTTTCTCTCTCTAACATTTAATAGAGGATAAAAGAAAAAATTTATGATGAAAATTTAATGATGTAACTTATAAATTAGGACCAAAATTTTTTTCTCTCTCTACCCTATAAATAGGACTAGAGGGAATAAGCTTTTAATTAAAATTATTACATTTATAATTAATTCTCATACTTGCAATATTAAAAAACACAGCTAAAACGAATTATGTAAGAACACGTTTCAACTACGAATTTCAACAAAGTAAATTATTTAATAAGTAGAATCAAGAGGGATGATTTACAAAAAATAGAGGGATAAAGAAGCTTGAGATATTGTATCTATCACTAAAACAAACTTCTCAACTAGCCCATGCAATTAAGACTAGTCAGAGTATATTTTTAGAAGGTTAAAAAGTAAAAATGTCTTGAATTTTTTTTTCGCCAAAAAATGTATGATATTTTAATTTTTGTCGGAAACAATTTTGTCTTGAACTTTTTAAAAAGAAAATAATTTTATCCTGCTATCAATATTAACCGTTAAGTTGACTTTATCTGCAAGCACATGACATTCAAGGTGGGGAAAAAACAGAACTACACATGGCCATTAAAAAAAAAAAAAAAACTAGCAGAGGCCAAGTAGTCGGTCCGGATCCGACGTTAACGATTCCAGTGTGCAGTTAGCTTCTTCTTCCTGTGTTTACGGACGTGTGGCGAGAACCGGCAGAGTTCTACCTCCCGTAGAAACGATGTCGTCATCGAAGGAACTTGCTACTTCATTATCCCTGTCACCTCCTAGGTTGCATAGATACAGGTACGAGTATCCGATACAATGCGGCATGATACGGGGATATGGCAAATTTTTAAAATTTTATGATACGGGTACGAGAATATTTATAATGTATATTTCAATATTTTATGATGTAAGTATAGGTATTTTGAGTTTTAAATAAGAATTTTTAAAGTAATATAAGAATATTTATAGTAATTAATTAAAATATTAAGTGTTTTTTTAAGTTTTTAAGTGATATAGTAAAAAATTATTGAAAAAAAATCATATAACAAATGTTAGAATATGAAATACGTTTGCAGAAGTATTCTACAAGTATCGTATCGGATACGGGTACGTTTACTTTTTTGAAGTATCCGTGCTACATCACCTCCTGGGGTGGACAATTCAGAAGTCTCGAATCGTGCTTCGGAGTCAACATGTTCATTTAGGCCTATGCGATTGGAGGAGCGGTGAAACGGGCTCATCGACGGCGAACCCTAATGCAGGCTCGCCATTGAGTTTCAATGCAGAGTTGATTGCTGTGATGCAGGAGATGATAAAGACGGAGGCGAGGAGTTATATGGCGGGATTAAAGAAAAGGCAGCTCATGGATTTGCGAACGCTTAAGTGAAGCGAGCGTGTTGGGATGAGCAAGTTCGATTCGTAAGTATGAGAGGAGACAAGAGAATGGAGTTCGCGAACGATGAAAAGTTTATCCTTTTTCTGTTTTAAATTCGTAGGCAAATAATTTTTCTTGATGTACGGAGACAGAACTCGTTCGCGAGAGAAATCAGAGAGTGGCTTTTGATGCCCAAGAAGTGAGAAAACCAAGGTGGTGGATGGAGTTGAAAATGAGAAATTTCGTGGGCGAAATGTAAAATTTCATCCATGTTCAAGGGCTCTAGTTCTGTTTTTTCGCCACAATGGAATTTCATGGCCACGTGTAAGTTGCCCCCCCCTCCTTAAAGAATCGCACGTGACCACCAGATGGTAGATAAAGTCTAATGCATGATTAGCTAACAGTCAACACTAATAACAGGGAAAAATTGCTCTTAAAAAAGATTTAAAATACTAAGCACTTCAAAAAAAAAGAAATTTCAAGATATTTTAGTCCTTTCACCCTATTTTTATAGGTAGTATCTATGGCTTTCTTCACAGTGACTTAAGGGGATTTTAGCTCGGTCTAGACTAACTGGAATGGATCCATTCAGGTAGAAGCTCTATCACCAACGTTGATCTATGTTTAGAACTCAAACTCATGATCTCTAATTAAGCTAATATAACACTTTTACCTGTTAAACCAAAACTCTCGTGATAGTGCCCATTTTTCGTGGTGTTTAGTAGTGAATGAAGCTCAGGGACGGACTCGTGTGAGAAAGTGGGGGTAATTGTGAATCGGGCCCGGGGCACTACATATTTACTATTTTTTATTACATACGGACCCTTCAAACCACCTCAAATTTCCTATATAAAGGGCTATGGCTTAAGCCTTCGCTAGGCATGAAATAGGGTTTGCAACTTAACTTTGCATGGTATATCTGGCTTTTTTCGTTGTAGCTTGGATACATCAGAAAGACAAAATATGTCTCACGTCGGGAAGGTTGAAGCAGATGTTCACCTTAATGCTTCTGCTGACAAGTTCCATGAAATCTTCAGCAGCAATCCTCATCACATCGCCAATTTCACTCCCAGTAAAATCAAGGGCGTGAGTAAGCATCAAGGTGATTTTGGCAAAGTTGGCTCCATCATCGTCTGGAACTACGTTCATGGTAAGTCAAACCGTTACTACATTTGAATATGAAATGACTGTGTAGTTTTGCGAGTATATATATGTGTGTGTGTGTGAAGCTGATTCATGAAATGACTGAGTAATTCTGTGACTGCGCACAGATGGGAAGCAGTGTGTGGCGAAGGATGTGATTGAAGCGGTGGATCCAGCAAAGAACCTCGTCACTTTCAGGGTGATAGAGGGAGATGTACTACAGCATTACAAGAGCTTCAAAGCGACGATTCAAGTGAATCCAAAGGCAAAGGGAAGTGTGGCCCGCTGGACTCTCGAGTATGAGAAGCTGCATGGGGAAGTTCCAGATCCTCTCTCTCTGACTCAGTTTCTGACAGAAATGAGCAGAGAGATTGATGCAAGCCTCACGCAGGGACAGGGACATGAAGAACAGTTATTGGGGATGGTGGAAGTTGATGTTCACATTGATGCTTCTGCGGACAAGTTTCATGAACTGTTCAGTAGCAGGCCCCACCACATCCCCAATATTTCTCCTGGCAACATTCGAGATGTTGTTCTTGAAGGAAGCTTGGGCAAGGTCGGTTCTATCATTACCTGGCATTATGTCCTTGGTAAGTACTTAACTTGTTTACACACACAGCAATTTCTGGTTTCATTTTTTGATGGAAGAACATGTTTGAACATGGTACTGATATACAAGAACAAATTTGTGGTGTACTGCAGAAGGGAAAAACTGTGTGGCTAAGGATGTGATTGAGGTGGTAGATGCGGAGAAGAATTTGGTGATTATGAGAGTGATGGAGGGAGATATTCTGAAGGATTGCAAGAGAATGCAAAAATCGGTGCAGGCAATTCCGAAGGATAAAGGGAGTGTGGTGCGCGTTACGCTTGAATATGAAAAGCTGAAAGGTCACGTTCCTGACCCTCACTCTCTCACACAGATGATGGCTCAAGTTGCCAAACACATAGGCTCTCATCTTGCCCAGTAGTACCATCTTTGAAGCCTATCAGTGTCATGGGATTTGAATATTCTTCAAATCCCAGAGTCCATCGTGACTTGATCTGTTGTTCTGTGTTATATATATGAGCTCCATATATATGAATAAAAACAGCTTCATTCAGTTGTTGTAATTAATACTCGTGGTGCTTATGCATTGCGAGATCAGTTGCATGCAGCTGTTCTTATGTAAGATATAGTAAGATTTGGGATCATGGTTGAATGAGTAAGTTTTATGTTGGGTGTTATGAAAGTTCACTTAAGGATTATGGAGTTTTTAACTCTACTTTATCAAATTCGCACATTTATTTATAATGATTTCATTGACGAAGATATTAATCATGATATATTTTAGCCACAAACATTATACTTCAATTGGCTGTATTTGAAAACTGTTACATATTCCTCATTAAAAAGAGACAATTTAATTAATTTTGATGGAAATGGAATGGAAATAAATAACTATAAAAAAGATTATATTTGGCATATATTGAAAAGGAAAGAAAATAATATTCATCTAAATAATATTTAGTAACAATATAATTGAGAAAACTGCATTAAGTATTTCTGATTATGTTTTCAATGACAGCCAACTTGTGTTCTGGAAGCTAAGCAATGGGTTTATACCAATAGCTCTCCTCCTCCTCCTTTATATTATATACTCATATTTCATTACAATTTTTATTTTTGCCTTGAGGAAAAATTTAGCTAACTTAGATACTAGTACCAGGAGCCTAACATGACCAAGACGCATGACTTTTAGATTCAAAGAATATTTGTAAAGGTGCTTACAGATCGTTCACTACTAAGATCTTTCAATCGGCTAACAGTGGGAAATTTCAAACGCGATTTTATAGGTTATGAGTCAAATCTTTATTCGTCAGACCAAATTTTGTTAGGATAATTCTCTTTTATGTTTTATGTGTTGGAAGCTACTTCTGCCGCCAACACGTCTGTTTGTGTTTCATTCATCAGTAGAGAGTATATATGTAGTGTATAGATAAACATATACTCTCATATCCAACCAACATATAAGATAGGTTTGTCAATGAAATCGGTCGGTTTAAATATGTTTAGTTAAGAAACATATTCTTCAATGACTTTCCAACCACTTGCATTTATCCTTGAAAGAATTGCATGATTCATTTAAGGGGAAAAATCTTATCAACAAACGTAACAGTCACCAAAATCATCATCCCATAGACATTCAACCAATTGACGGACGTAGAAAATAATAAAATAAATAACAATGCCTTTAATTTGTTCCTTAATTTAAAACATATTCTAAAAGTATTCTATGATCCTATAGACACATAGAAAAAAGTAAATAATATTAATTTTTAAATTCTTTTATTAATTGTGCTTGTAAAGAGAGATGATATAAAAAATTAAATGTAATCTTAAAAACTAATGACAATTTTTAACAATTTTAATAATATAAATTACTTTTAACTACGTTTCTCAATTTGTATGAAGTAGTAGTTAAAGCCTAAAAGCATCTATATATATTAAAGACCAAAGAGAGTAGATCAAAATCCAGCCAAGAGAACATGCAGCAATAATGGTTTAACTTGTTTTAAGATGTGGTGTTCATTCATTGTATCCTACATGCGGTTTGTGTTGGTAGGTTGAAATAATCTCAAGGTAATTTGTTTGTTATTAATTTCCTAGTTAGCTAGGAGGTTGAGTTCCATCTCATCCCATATGTTAGGGTTTTGTTCATCAGCCTTCAAGAAATGATGGGTTTATTGTGATGTTGTTGATTGAGTTTATTGCTCTTTATTATGATTAATAGATATGCTTTCTCCATTTTGATTCTTGTTATTTAACAGTTTGGTCCTCAACCAAGTTCATTAAAGCACTGTGATCGAGATATATTCATAGGGCCGTGTGTGACGCTAAATCAAGGCACTCAAAAAATGTTCATTTAATTTATATCCTACTAGTTATTATTTTTCCTGTTAAACATTAATATTAATTATATCTTTTCATTTAGAAAAGTAATATGATGATAGGTAAATAATACTCTCTCCTGTCTCTATTATAAGATACTTTCAATAACTTCAATAGAGCCACTAAATGATAGCTAACTTATTTGATATGTCTTAAAATAAAAAAAAATAACTTTACCCCTATTATAAATAGGAGGAGGGAGATATATAATATATAATGAGTCATAAAATTGAATTTACAATAAAGGTAAAATTGAAATATTGTAATAAATGACCCTCCATGTGCCTTACATTAATTAAAAACTAAAAAATCTTTTTAAAAAGTGTTCTATAATAGAGATAAGAGGAAATAATACACCAGACATTTTAAATAATTTTACTTGAGGCCCCAAAACTCCTTCACACAACCTTGTGTATTCCATGTACTCCCTTTGAATTATAATATAAGAAATCTTATAAAAGTCTTATTTAGTCCAAAATATAGGGTACTGAGTAACTTTTCTATAATTATTTTTCCAACTATACCCATAGTTCTTTTTTTTTTGCAAAAAATTGATAAATTAAAATTTTAATTATTATTATCAAAGCACTTATATAGGGTATTTGATGAGGGTATAATTGAAAAATATAATTTTTTAAAGAAATTAAGGTTTCAACTAACATTTTTTTAAAAATCATGCATTAGTTACAAATACCTTGTATTTTGGTCTAGAGGGAGCATATTATCTGATCCTTTAACTAGTTGTTTTCTATATTTGAGTCTATCATTTACCCCCTTTGCCCCTATGTGCGCGCGCCCATGGTGTTTTTAACTAAATTTTACGTATCAATAAAATTTTATTATTTAGTTAAAATTACATAAAATTACAATAATTTTTCCAATTTTGCCCCTCATAATATCATAATTAATATCATGGTGGTAGTGGATAAAGCAAACTATTGAGAGTTAATTTTTATTGGGTCACTATTTAGGGCTAGTGTTTTGTTTTAGGCTTGTGTGTCAGTGTGAATCTTGTTTATATTTCTTGTTTCTTGGTTTTTTGTTCATGTTGGCTATTTAAGGCCTGGCTTTGTGTTTGTGAATGAGTAGTAAAATTACTCTATAAAACATTGCAGATGGTGATGTGATCCAGCTCGTATGTGGCATTTTTCTGAAATGAATTATTCAGTTCAAGCTTGTTTTTCAACATGGTACTAGAGCTGGGTCAGTGAACTGACTTGATTCATTTCCTTTTCATAAACCTAAACCTAATAGCTTCCTAATCTTGATTCATCGTCTTCTTCATCGCCAGGCTTATATCTTCCCAAAATCTATCATTGCATCATCAACCATAACTCTTTCAAGATTCATCATGACATAAGCTGAATCTACACAATCCTTCACTTCTGCAATTGACATAAGCCACCCTCTTTATTTTCACCCTTTGGACAACCAAGCCTTAACTTTGGTGGCTCAATCACTCATTGGCAGCACTAACTATGCTGTTTGGTGTCGCACTATTAGAATGTCTCTTAAAGAAAGGAACAAGATTGGCTTGATAGATGGATATTGTAAGAGAGAATCATAAAAAGAGCTATTTTGAAGTCAGTAGGATTGATGCAACATAGTCATCTCGTCTTGGCTAATTAATTCAGTCTCTAAAGAGATTGCAACCAATATAACCTTCTTTGAAAACACTCAAGATCTTTAGAATGATCTTCGCGAGCGATTTGACGTGATCAATAGAACTAAAGTCTACAACCTTTATCAATTCATCAATACACTTACTCAAAGAGGTATGACTTTCAAGTAAGGTATTAAAAACTAGATCAGTCATTAAACTAGTCAAGATATTGGGTTAGGGGTCAGTGGTTCAACCAGAGTTGAACCGAGGGTTAAATCGAAATCAAATCGGTCATAATAAAATAATATAATATAAATGGAACTTATTAATTCTCAATACATTCATTCATATCCAAGACTTAACATCTCATAATATACAACAATAATTCAAGTGCTGAAAATTTTAGATTAGAAAAATAAAATAAAATTCAATTTGAAAATAAGATAACCATGAGGACTTTTTTCAATAAAGTGGAGTAATATGTAAAGGAATACAATTTCAAAATGGTTTAGAAAGTTTCAACCAAAAAATAAAATGGTTTAGAAAGTTGTGAAGCAAAAACGTGTAAAAGTGAAAATGTCAGCCTAGAAATGACATAATATGTACTGTGGTATCTTTTATTTTAAATAAAAACTAAAAAAAAATTCTTCCCTCCCTCTCTTTGGATGATACACCCATCTCTTTTCATTATAGTTTTCAAATTTGACTCTTTTATTGCCAGGTCTAGCGCTTTGGCATTTCATATCTATGTGTTTCAGATATGCTTCTTGATGTTTTTCTATTCTTGGTTTGTCATCTTGTAATTGTTCACCGTTTATATTCATTTCAGATCTGCTTAATCTTCTTATGTGTTTTGCTGCATCTGAGTTGCCTTTGTGATTCAAGCACATTTGGAATGGCCAAACAAAACAACATATATATATATATATATATCTCCTCAATTTCCATCTTCTTCTTCTTCTTTATTTTTTGGAATCTTTTTTCAGCATCATTTTAGGGCTTTTGGAGAGGTGAAAAAAGTAACCCATTCAACTCGCCCAACTTGTGGGGTTGAACAAGTTACTCCAAATTTTTTCTGAATCACATGGGTTAATCTAGATTGACTTCTATCCGAGCTATATATAGTAAGCCAAACCCAACATATGGTCGGTTCACTGATCTAACCAGTCAATCTAATCTAGTTTTCCAAACCATGCTTTCAAGTTTCTTTACAAAGATAAAAGAATTATGTGAAGAATATTCTACAATTATTCCCCTGCCCATATGTAAATGTCCATTTTCAGTTGAATATGCAAAGAGTATTCAGCAACAAAAGTTCTTTCAAATTTCTTATAGGTCTTAATGACTCCTACCAATCTACTAGAAGATAGATGCTGCTCATGAACCCTCTACGATCGATCAATCAAGCATACTCTATGATTTCACATGAGGAAGCATAACACTCCATTTCATCTTCTCCGTATCAATCGTCTAATTATTCTGCTTCTACAACTAGTAGGGGTCACGAATGATTTGGGGGTCAAGGTAGAAGCAACTCATTTGATGAGTGTTTTTATTGCCATAAAAAGTGCTACATAAGGGGTAATTGTTTTCACATTATTGAATTCCCTCATAATTTTCAAGGAGGAAGAGGACGAGTTAATCAACTTAGTTGAGCAAATCAAGTTGAAGGCTCTACTTCCCACAACATGTCAAAACCACA